TTGCATTGTTTCTGTGTTATTTCCAACTGCTTCTACCAATCTAATTATGCATTAGCCCTTTCCAGCATTTTTTTTGTGAACATGTCCTCAAAGTTTTCCCAGTCAATTTTTGCTTTCGTGCGGACAGCCATGATAACACATATGAAATAAATCTTGGGTTGATACATTTTCAGCGGTATAATGAACTTTACGATTGGAAATATGGTTTTCAAAAATGCGAGGATATTTGTTTTAGTGCCTCGGTTTGACCTCCGAAACCTAGGTGGAATTTACGAATGCGTTGTTTGTCTCCTTTTGCCAACTGGAGTCCGGCTATATTTGTTCAATAAAAGCCTGAAAATCTTAAAACAAAAGTCTTGAATTAGAGCTGCATAAATGGGCAAAATGGCAAGCCCAGTTGGACTTGTTACAGTTCATGAAGTTGCTCATTGGTTGCGTACGAATGAAAAGATATTGATACTTGACGCGCGTTCTTTTATGGAATATAACACAAGTCACATTGGGAAGTCTGTAAATATTGGTGGTGATCGTGTTTTTCGGCGGAAGCTGTGCGAGTTTCCGGTAATTCGATTTGTGCGTGTATTAATTTTTCGTTGCTTAAGATTGTCCTTAGTTCCCTAATTTCCACAATTGTTGGAGTTCCAGCTTCGGATATCCGCGAGTTTCGTGGAGTTATACTCTATGATCAATTTTCGGATGATCAAGATGCACTTCGGTCCAATGTCTTTATATCTTTCCTTCTCAGTACCCTATCTTCGATCTTCCCCAATACATTACTGTTAAAAGGTAATTTTGATGTTTTTTGCTGAATGATTTTTTATGCCTTTCTGTTTAAGTGCTTGTTTGTTGGAACTGCTGTCGCCTTCGTTTTTCTCACATTTGAGATGCTCCATTTAAATAAAATTAAAACTTCATATACTCCGAAGGCCCTCAAACCGACTACAGTCATGTGGTGCACCATTTACAAGGTTTCGGTGTAGGTAACTTGGCTGTCAAGGCCATAATTCGTAGAATTTTTAAGTTTTTTTTGCGGAAATGTTTTCTGCGCACTTTAATAGTATCAGGGAAGGAGATACGAGCAGGCAGAGGAGCTATTTTATCCTTTGGACTCTCCGATTTCAAGTTCTAACTCCTTCGGTATATCTGTCACTTTTACGATGATACGCTTAAACACCCTACTTTCATTTACTCCATATATTTTGCATTCCTTGAACCTAAAAAAATAACGAGTCTCTCGTTCGATTGCATCTACGGATGAGTGGTAGTAGCCCAGCGGATAGCTGAAGACTCACCTCTTAGCACCTTTGAATATTACTATCTGTGATCCACAGTATCTTCATCCCCCCAAAGACATTCAACAAATCTTAGTTGTTTTTGCAATCAGTCAAGATTGCCACAGAATATGTTATTCGTCCTCCTTGATTTACAGTCCTCTCCCACCCTATATTTGCTCCGTCTGTTATTTTGGCAGCATAAAAACACCTTTCAGCAAGGTACGCTTCGCTTATAGCTCCCCCTTTTTGTTCCTTTTTCGGCATTTTTGTTCGATTCCAAAAATGCCCTGCCTTACTTTCCCTCCTTCCCAAAACCTCAAGTTATTTTATTTTCCAATACTCCCTTCTCCAAATTGACTACTTCAATAGTCCTCATAGTTGCTATGCGACTGTCTATGCGGGCTCTAATTGTGGGCTTCAGGGCGAAGTGGAACTTAATTGTTCCTCTACCAGTTTGGCGATGCCCATATATTCATCCCTATCCCGATTTTAACCGACAAAGCAACGAGCCCGTGGTGCAATGGTAGCGTAGTTAACTCAATGACCAAACGTCCCGGGTTTGAATCTCGTGGGTTCCGAACCTAGGGATTGTGTATAACTGGCTGACGACGGCTAAAAATCCAGAAATTGCCATCCCGGTCTCCCTTTGCTTTTTCGGATCCATTCCATTCTATCCTCATAGTCGCTATGTGATTGCCTGCGCGGG